TTTTGTTCATTTCTATGACTGCAGCTAGTTTGTTGCAAATAAAAAGTAAAGCAACATTGAAACAATTCTCCATATTTAAAGCAACATTGAAACAATTCTCCATCTTCAAATGAAATTAATATAAAATATTGAAACCATCATGATTTGTTTCAGACCGAACATCACGGTGGACATTTCAGCCGATGACATGTCAGCTGGGCATCAGAGGAGAGCCACAGTCCCATAGAGTGACTTTAAACCTTTAGCCGTGTAACATACTCACAGTGAATAAGTATATATTTTTTTAGATAAATTAAAGTTTACAGATTCTATATTGCCTTTTCTCGTCATAAATTAAATACATTTTTCATATAGTAATGCTGTATATGTTGTTACATCATTGGCTTTCATAATGTATTTCTTGTATATAGTTTTATGTAGTGCAGTGAAAAAAATGAATTACATTTACATTTTTTGCAACATTAGTACAATCTCTCTCTCTCTTTTCTATTCATCTCTCCATTAGTGAAAAGGAGGATGCTGAAAAAAAAATCAAACAAATAATGGCCCAAGCGAAGAGATTTTCCATTCAGAGCACCTACGGCCACTTAATAAATATAATTCCTATGACTAAAGAAACTGCTTCAGACCCCTTTGATAGTGATCATAGAGGACTATATCGATAATATAAAAACAATGGCAACGAAAAATTTCTTTAGTAACGCAGGGAATCCTATAATCATCAGATTTTGACCCTAAACATTTGCAGTAGGACTACGAGTACGACCAGCGATGAGGCAGTGAGAGCTCGGACAGCTCTTTCAGATTCCTTAAGAAAAGGAAATGGTAGATGAAATTTCCATTAGAATAATTGTTGCATTGCGCTATTATCTTTTATCTTATTAAAGAAAGAGTAAACTGTAATCAAATATTCATCCGTTTATGATAGTGTATGGTTCACTATTGTTATTCATATCCATTTTCTTTCTCATCTAATGTTTAGAAAACGGCGTGAATGCTGCTATAGAAAAGCTTCTAACCTTGCATACGAGATTAAACTAATGCAATCAAGAAAATAAACATGAAATAAGAAATGAAAGTGATGAAGTACGCTGTTTACTAAGTGATAATTTTTGCATTATGTAAAAAGTACTCTGTCATATTTTCGTACCTTACCCTATCCGCCATTTAAGCTTAAAATAGATGTTTAGAATTGAAGGATATTTTGCAAGTTGATTAAAATCTTTCGTTGTCGTATTTTCAGCTATAAAAGTGTAACTGTCAGAAATCTTTAGTAAAAAACTTTCTAATTGTAGAACAAAAAGAATTTCTAATGTAGAAATATATTTCTGTGATCAGTGATTCGAAGTAATGTGCACAGGATTCGAGACGGTCTATTCGCACAATATTCTGTCGGGCATTTCATACCGCTTTCAAGTTATTTTTGATAAGTAGGAAGTTAGGAAGTGAATATCAATGCATTAACAAAGACACGTCACAAATCAATGGTGGTTTCCTGTACTGCAGACGAAATTTCGGTTAATTGGAGGCCCTACTATGGCGGGGTTTTACGGGATCCGTTTTCAAGTGCGTGAAGTTGCAAGGAGAACTGTTAAAGCTATCTATGCGCAGACGGATGTGTATTTCTACTGAACATTAAATGATTACTCAACACAACTTTCAAGTGATTTTGTAATGCGATAGTTAAGTTACAATATGATGTTCTGCGCAGATGTTAAACGGCAGAGTTCACCTGCCTTATGCAGCCCTGTTGCCGTATCCATGCCCTTCTCCAATGGCAGTCAAGAAAATGCATGAATAATATATATATATATATATATATATATATATATATATATATATATATATATATATATATTATATATATATATATAGATAGGATTAGATAGATAGATAGATAGATTAGATAGATAGATAGATTTAGTAGATATGATATAGTGAGTACTATAGATACTTTCATATTGACTATTTATTATTATACTATCCTACTACTGGTAGAGGACTAGTAGCGGGCGGCTGGATGTATTGGATGATAGTATAACTATATATAGGGTTAATTATTTTATATAATAATGATTATTATCGGGGTATATAGTTGCTATGGTAGGGACTTATTCTATACATAATAGATTTTATGGCCTTATTTTATGTATCTATTGTGGGTTGTTGTGGTGTGTGTGTGTGTGTGTAGTGTTGTGAGTGTGTGTGGTGTGTTGTGGGTTGTATATATATAGGGGTAGGGATTATGTTCCTTCATATAATTAGTATTGTGGTATAGCGTGGAAGTCAGCATCTCCTATACCCACCTCGTATATAGTGATATTGAGGGATTGATATACCTGGGCGTTTTAGATTACTATTACCCATATATTTATACAAATAATGATATTTTTACTTATGTGTTAGTCTGTTGTATAGCCTGGTATTGACTCATCGGTATAAGGGTTTATTTATGGATGTCTACTATATATATATAGGCGCTGCCCGGGCTAGTGTATCTAAGCCTGATCATACTAGCCTGGCTTGTGGTGTTGTGTGCTGTGTGTGTATGGTGTGTTGTGGTTGTGTGTTGTGTGTGTTAGGACATGTATATAAAGAAATATGTGCGAGCAGAAAATTAACTTCGCAAAGGTATTTAAATTTGTGATGGTGCCCGACATGCTATATCGGGTCATGTTATTGCTTGTAGTCACTAATTATCATTACCTATGCTTTTATCTAAAAGCTGTATTGCGCTCATATTCAGAGTACTCTGCGAGTCAACACAATGGTGAAACGAGTAGGAATACTTGAGTTGTATCGTTGAATGATAACACGCCACACGCTTAGACGATAGCAGAAAATTTATATGTACACAGTACGTTGATGCGACTTATGAAATTGAAAATGGCTATGGCCCATAGTCTCTGTGATCTGGGAAGGCTCATTCGGCAATAATTAGCAGCTTGCCTCCGCGCCTGCTTCTCTCATCTGTGGTGCTCATTTTGCACTTGTTGGTTAATGGCATGAACATTTTATTATTTTAGATAGAGGCGAGAGGAGATATTGCTTGTCTCGTTTTTTTTCCGTGAAGCATGAGACGGGAGCATTTTTTGTGTGTATACGACTTCGCGATGTGCTCGGTTTTTATAAGTATGATTTCATAGATGCTGGCTAGCGATGGAATTTTAGTACGGAATCCACATTTGAAATTGTTACATG